TTTTTTTTTTTTTTTTGTTATTCTTATCTTTTTTTGAGGAACAGTATAACTAAAAAATCTTTTTTTTTGAATTTTTTCCTTAGCAATTTTTTGATATTTTATTCTGAAACGTTCTATTTTTTACTTTTGTACTCTGTCTTCACAGCACTGTATCACTGCTCTTTAAATAGACACTAGCATGTGAGTTTTGGACAGGTAGGAGTAATAAACTTTTTGTTAGGGATTTTCAGTCCGCTGTAGATTACCGGTTCAACAGTATTTACCTTTTTTGGACAACAAAAGTTGCATAGTTTTATTGGTCTTTTTAGAAGAAGTCGCAATGGTTTTACCAGTTGTTGAAACTTGCAGTAAACGTCTTATCTGCTCGTTCTTCCGGCCCATACTGCTGGCGCATGGTTTGTGCCGGATTCTTTAATAGAATAAATATTTGCAGTTGATTTGAAATAATTCTGCGAAATAATGGTTGCTTGAAAGTTTGGGTTTTTCTTTGTTATAGTGCCTATAAAAATACTCATCTTTTCGTTTTTAAGTGGAACTTCCTCATTCTTGCGGTATTTTATTAGTAAAAGAGACATTCGGGAATCTGGCTTTTCATTAATCTTTGGATGGTATTTTTTACTTGTGAATTTTTTTATTCAATAGAAAATTGTTTCTGTGAAATCTTAATTGACTTGGAGGAACTCTCACTTTTACACCGGCATTTACTGTTGTGACTTCTCAGCTCGTCATATAGTTTTGTGTTTTCAGCGTGAATATCCATAGTTGACCGCCTTCTTTGTTATTTTGAAGCATATTTTATCTAATAATTAAGAGTTGTTTTGAATTTTTCAGGGGATTATTAATGAACAATGAAGCTAAAGAAACGTCGATTAACAAAAAAATCGTCTAAAAAGGCATCATTAAATAAAAATGGACTTGCGAAAGGCAGAAAGGTTTCATTAGGCACACAAAAAGTTAGTGGTCTACCAAAACTGTTGCATTTCTCAAAAGCCCATAAAATTCCTTGAATTTCCAGACTTAGTTTATACAGTATTTTGCTTCTGTAATTTTGTCTTGCGCTTTCCAGCTACGCTATTTAGGATTTCGACTTTTTCTGATTGATGATCATGGCAGTTGTTCCCACCTAGTTGTTTTAGAATGAGGCTGTTGAGGATCTCGCTGATGTCAGCACTACACGTAAGAGAAAATTTTCTTCAGAATCGTCGGTTGGTAGTTCCTCACAAACAAAACCAAAGCTAAAGCGTGTTTCATTTGCTGAGAAACTGGAACACACTAAAATCTTTGAGAAGTCAGTAAAGAAGCTTAAGGTATTCATCTTTATTTTAACAATGAGTAAAATGTTATTTAACAAAGTAAGCTTTTTTTTTAGGTTGAAATAAAATAAATTTTGAGTCTGGTTATTAATTTTACACAGCATTTTTAAAGAAGATTGGTGTTGAAATTCTTTGAAAATATCAAAGTATATAATAAAGCTTTTCAGGTTGAACCATCAACAGCTTCACCTGGCAAAAGTATCTTGTCGAAAAAGAATGGTCACAAAGAAAGTGTTCCGGAAGAAGTAAAAAAAACCACGGATGTGAACAGTAGTGTTTCGCACGAGAAGGCTTTAAACAGCAGGTCGAAAAGCAATAAGCTAAAAGTCCAGGTAAAATTGTCTAGACTGGCAAGGGACACTCGTATTTTTT